GCGCTGTGGGCCAGTCTGTGCGCGGCAGGCCGCTTGTCGCCTTGCCAGCGGTGGTCGCGGCCGTGGCTTAGACTGGCGGCTCCAACACACTGGTAGCACCAATGGTAAAGAAGAGCAGCGGCCAGCGGAGATGCAAACAACGAGGCGCTGGGATGGTTGCGATCTGCGCGCTGGTGGCCTGCAACCGCCGCGGTCATCGCCGCGACAACCCGGGACTCGGTCCCTTGCCATCTTGCACCCTGGTCCCCCACCCGTTCCGCCGCCGCACGAAAGGGAAGGAATAGGCTCATAGCCGGAAGGTGGGGGGATGCGGGTCTACAGGTGGAGGCGAGCCAGAAGGGAGTGAAGGTTGGGTAAGGGCTTTCTCAATGGGAAGGAAACTCTTCGCGCTGCTACCCCCGACACCCCAGCTCGAATTTGGTGATTAACGTCCCCACCTCGGAGGCGCATGAAGAGAGCTCCATCCACTGGTCAGATGCGGTTTGTGTTCCCGCGGTGCGTCGGACGAGGAACATGCGTGGGTAAAAAAAACACGGCGGGTTTGGGGACCCTGTCTGACCGTGGACCCTCTGCATAGCATAGCCCGTTGTAGTTGTAGCCGCCGTAGGTGCGTGTGGCAAGTCGGATGGGTGCGGGTGAACAGACCACTGCTGTGGACCCACTATCTTCGCGCCAACTGAAGTATCCGCTGTCGCCGCGTGCTGATGCTGCCGAGTAGGGCTACCGTAAGAGTGGTCGAGTACTGAATGCTGTAAATAAAATCCTGCTGCTGCTGCGCTCGGAACACAGCGCGTGACGGTTCGGGTGCACAGTGGCGCAGGGATCGGGAGTCGGTGACGCTGGTGAGAGTCAGGTGGGATCTGCGGTCGCTGGTGGCAAAACTAGCGTTAAAAACAGAGTGAGGCACAAACGGGCCTCCGCGAGGCAGGTCGTTCCGTGGCCGTGGGTCGTCTGGAGGAGAACGGTGGTGATGAACTCTCCTGAGCCTGTGGGGTGGGCGTCGCGTTGTGGTCGATCGCGCTGTCAGCATGGCGTCAGCGGGGTTGTCCGCCTCACGCGCGGTCCCCAAGAGCTGAAGGTTGGTACGGCCGCTGTCAATTCTGGCCATGTGGTCAACGTCCGTCTTGATGCAGGCCATGCTGCCATAGCTGGGGTGGTATTCGTTCTCGTTCTGGTCCATGGTGGCTCTCGTGCCTGAGTGCAGTGCTGGGTATCTCGTCCCATGTAGACGGGCCTCGCTGCTGGGCGCGCTTTGCTGAGTGATGAAGACCTTCCCCGCTGGTGGTCAGGGCGGGGCAATGCTCTCCCGATGGGATGTCGGCAGCGTGCACCGAGCTAGCGAGACCTTTCGCGTCGGTTGGCCGGGGGGGGGCTGTCGGCCGTGAAGGCGAGTCCTCGCGTGAAGAGGTCAGCGGTCGGCAGAGCCGCCGTTACTGGTTGGTTTCGACGTGGGCCCCTGCTGGCATCTGGTGTAGTGAGTCCGCGCAGGTTCAGGTAGGGCACGTCCCCCTACAGGCGAATGTTGCATGATTTTTTGCATAAGCAACATTGCAAAAATGCTCTCATAATACTCAAGAATAATCAAACAATCGTCCCCAAGCTACTTTTGACTAGTTTTGAAGATTCCTCCTGTAGAGGGGCAGGCCCGACGTACGCGTAGGCTGGTGAGTGCCGTGGTCATCTTGGCTGGGCGCTGAGCCTTGGCGACCGGTGCCTGGCGTGGGGCCCGCTGGCGGGCGGCGTCCGCCTACAGCCAGGTGCTCTTCAGCAGCCGTGAGGTGCTCGCCCATGGCCTGGCGTACAGTCAGCCCGTATAGTAAGGATGCGCGGTGAGGATGCAGGGGCCTTAACAGGCGATGTTGACGTTTTTCGGACGGAGATGGCCAGCAAACGTCGCTAAGGACGGGCCGAAAGGGGCAAGGATGCAAGGGTACCCTTGGGAAAGTTGCCCATCCTTACTATGCGGGTTGACTGTACCTCAACAGCCAGGACGTCTCCTTCGGCACGGTGGTTTTCGTGCGGGATGTCTCCAGAATGCTAGCTGCACGGCCACAGCATCATGGTGGTGTGGGTCTTGGTCAAGCGGTTCCCCTCGGAAGGGTTGGGCTGGCGTCGCCGTTGCGCTGGAGCGCCAGGTCCATCCAATAGACCGTGTCCTTGGCAATGCCCTCCCGAAAAATCGCAGTGTGAACGGGGATGGTAACACAGCCTGCTTGTTCCGCAAGGCAAGTTCGATGTAGCTGGCAATCTCGTCGCATTCGCGTCGCGCTTGGTCCTGCATGTGTATGTCAATGTCGCCATCAACTATCGGCAAGCGAACTGGTGCCTCCTGGTTGTGGTCCATGTTGAAAGAAACGCTGCGGAAACGCGCTGCTTCTCCGAAGCCGTTGACCATGGAGTCGCGACGGTATAGTGCAGGACCTGGTTATTGCTCACTCGGTCGATGCGGTGTGGGTCCGTTCCCCAGTCGTAGAGCGCCTCTGGGTTGTTGATGTTCTCACGCAGTCCCTGACGATCTTGTGCGAGTGTCTATTGTAGTGCGGCGCGCTCGTGTCGTAGTGGGTGCTTTGTTGATGTTGACGACCCTGCCAGTTGTGTCGTGCTGGATGTCGGACGCAGAAACTCCGACCCGCATGCGAATGGGTGGCTCTTCAACAAGTGTTTGAACCCGTCGAAGAAGGTGGACATGGCTGCTTTGGCTGTGGGCCCAGCCGTCCTCTTCGGTGGGGTTGGTTTGTATGGCACGTCGACGTTTCCTTCGAGTATGTGTGGGATCGGTTTGAGAGAAGGTTTGGCGGGCACGTGCCGGACCATCAGTGTGTGGTTGAGCTGCTTGGTTCTTGGGCCGATCCCCCTGTCGTCTGCCAGATGGGCTGAGATGGTAGGGGTGCCAGCATTCTCGCAGCGCAGCGGAGGGGTCTTAGCTGGGACCACCTGCCAGACCTGATCGTCTGACTGTGGTGCCTTGTGGTGTCCTTCCTCTGGAGGGCCCGCTCCAATCGCAGACAGGTGAGCCGGCACACGGTGGTTGGCCACCCGCCGCCTGGTGGTCGTGGCGTCGTGATGCATGCAACTCGCAGCGATGGGGTCGGCTGGGTAGG